GGTACATGCTTTGTAACCCAGGCTGCCTTGAACTCACTGTGAGGTAGCTCTCTCTCTCCAAATCCCCAGGGGACAGGCCACACAATCCTGGCCCCAGCACTGTAGAAGCTGGTGGCCTGGTCCCTCTCCTAGGGCTCTCTGTAAAGTTACCGAGAGAAGGAACAGGTCCTACAGCCCCAAAGGCTCCTCCTTCTAAGACTCAGGCCATGTCAGGCCATGTTGTCTCCCCTGCCCCCCTCTGCTCCTGGCCCTCTCTCCTCTGGATAGGTCAGAGCAGTGACGCAGGAGTCAGGGGCCCTGGAAAGAGCAGCCTGTTGGGAGGGGTGCGGTGGTCGGGACAGAGCTCACACGCGGACGTGTGTGGACGTGTGTTCCTGTGCATGTCCCGCAGCTGGGCCACAGTTGGGGAGCGGAGCTGGGTTCTGAGTGCTGAGCCTGAGCGGGTTCAGGAAGAAACTCTGAGAAGGCCCAAGGGGACAGGGAGACAGTCCAGAGTCAGAAGGACCAGGTTCCCGTGACTTCCAGTCAGCTCACTGGAGACGCCCGGTCTTCATCTTTCCACACCTTGTTTTGATCACGTCCTCCTCAAATCCTGTGGCTGCCTTCTTCCCCCAGAGTGTCACATTGACAGCTTGGCAACCGTAACTGCTTATTGACAACCACGGCTTCCGGTGCACCTTCTCAGTCTTTCTTCTGTAGTGGTGTGTGTGTGTGTGTGTGTGTGTGTGTGTGTGTGTGTGTGTGTGTGTGTGTGTGTGTTTTATTATTTTATTTTAATTATTTGAATAATTCTGTTTTGTTTTGTTTTTCGAGACAGGATTTCTCTGTGTAGCACTGGTTGTCCTGGAACTCACTTGGTAGCCCAGGCTGGCCTCGAACTCACAGAGATCCGCCTGGCTCTGCCTCCCGAGTGCTGGGATTAAAGGCGTGCGCCACCACCACTGCACGGCTCCCTCTTTTATCTTTTGAGATAGAGTCTCAATATGTAGCCCAGGCTGGCCTCAGCCCTCTGAGTGCTGGGATGACAGGAGGGTACCACCATCCCAACATGTGGACATTTCCTGAAAGAATGAATGAAATTTCCCACTCAAAAAAAAAAAAAAAAAAAAAAAAAACCGCTGGAGAGATGGCTCTGCGGTTAAGAGCACTAGCTGCTCTGGTCCTGAGTTCAATTCCCAGCAACCACATGGTGGCTCACAACCATCTGTAATGAGATCTGGCGCCCTCTTCTGGCCTGCAGACATATATGCAAACAGAACACTGTATACATAATAAATAAATAAATCTTTAAAAACAAAAAAACAAAAAAGAAAATCCAAGTTATTCAGAATAGCTTTCAATACTGTTCTACAACCTGAGTCCTTCCTAAGAGCATTCTGGCCTGATCTCATCCCAGCCTCCTTCCCAATACACCTGAGTCCCCTCCCACATCCCTCAGGTCACTCTCCATCCAAACCGCTCAGCCCTCAAGTCTGAGCTCATGGGATCTCTGCCATCCAGTCTGCCTCAACTTCTCCAGTTGGCTATGCGCTTTCTCGCCCTCTCCTGAGCTCTCCCACCTCAGAGCCACACACTCCAGTTCTGATACGTTGCCTGCCACATAGAGAACGTGTCTTGCTCTTTACAGTCTCCAGAGGGCAGGACTTTGGTGTTAATGTGTTTTTTTTTATCCTGTAAAGTGAATAAGGGTCTTGCACAAGGCAGACATTAATTCTGGGGACTTGACTTATCTGTAGAGCAATTACCTAGAAGGTCCCAGTGAGAGGATGGAAGCATGGCTCAGTGGTGGAGCCCCTGGCTAGAATCCCCCAGTGAGGGGCTGGGGGTGTGACTCAGTGGGAGAGCCCCTGCCTAGAATCCCTCAGTGAGGGGCTGGGGTGTGGCTCAGTGGTAGATCCCCTGCCTAGAATCCCCCAGTGAGGGGCTGGGTGTGGCTCAGTGGTAGGGCACCTGCCTAGAATCCCCCAGTGAGGGGCTGGGGTGTGGCTCAGTGGTAGAGCCCCTGGCTAGAATCCCCCAGTGAGGGGCTGGGGTGTGACTCAGTGGGAGAGCCCCTGCCTAGAATCCCCCAGTGAGGGGCTGGGGTGTGGCTCAGTGGTAGAGCACCTGCCTAGGATCCCCCAGTGAGGGGCTGGGGTGTGGCTCGGTGGCAGACTGCTGTTGATGACCCTATCCAATGACATGGAATTGGAATGTCAGGTTCTATGTTACAATTTGGCAATTCAGTTCAGACTAATTGGTGGAAATTGGCAAGTGCCTTATGCCCTCTTAAACTTTGGAAAGTTAAGTGTTTACAATGGTAAGTATACTTTGTCTTTTAGGTTAAATCAAAGTCACGGCTTTGTAGCATGTGTACTATTACCATATATATTATTGAAAGGACCTATACAATGGCACCCTAATAATCAGAGTATCACTTGTGAACGTTGTACTCGACATACCTGTATTAATGCTAGTATGTTATTGGATGTCACTTCTGAAAGTTTATATATTCTCAGAGCAAGGCCAGCAATCGGGATACCAGTAAAGTTGTCGAGGCCATGGCAAGACTCTCCTGTGCTGATTCCAGTCCAGAAACTCTCTGAGAGAATATTAAGAAGAACACATCGGACGATTGGACTGATTACTGCTGTAGTTATGGGAGTTATTGCATTGACTGTTATTGCTGCAACAGCTGGATTGGCCCTTCATAAAGAGATTCAAACTGCTGAATTTGTTAGAGACTGGCATTAGCATTCTGCAGAACTTCGGGCTCAATAGAATAAGATGGCTAGTGAGATAATTAATGAGATAGCTGACTTGAGGCAAGCTGTGTTACTTCTGGGAGATCAGTTAGACACTTTAAAGGAACAAAGTAAGTTAAAATGTGATTGGAGTGTTACAACTTACTGTACTACACCTTTAAAGTTCAATGAAAGCAAGTATGATTGGGAAAAAGTTAAAATGCATGTAAGTCACCCCAGTGCTTCTCACATGATTCATGATTTACAACAAGAGATTAAGGAAACCTTTTCAGTGATTACCTGAAGTGTTTGGAACGGATGTTATGGAAAGCTTTACAGATACCACAGCTTCATTTAATCCTCTCAATCATTTTGATAAGTTTCTTATTCTAGCAATTGTTATACTTGTTTTTTGTTATAATAATTTTACTGACTTTCAAATGTGTTCTGACTTATGTACATAAGGTAGTGAGACAGCATGAAAGAGAAAAGGCTGTCTTCACTGTGTGGCTGCGTAATCTTCAACAGAGTTAAATTAGCTTAGCTTAAACGAAGCGGGGGAATGTAGGAATTTAGCAGAAACACTGTATGGGGCAGATATTAGAACAAACAGCTGCTTTTTAGAAGTACTTTGACCTTGAAGGATCCTCGTGGAAAACAGTGATTGTTTCCTGTGATCTGTAGAATTGTTTTGCTGAAGGGGCTTTGCAGCCAACCATCCCATGACTTTGGTCACAAGACACCTCAGGCACACCTGAGGCTCTTGTCTTATTGTGTACTGCATACGATACATAATACAGGACTAGGGTCATGGCGGCATGTGATGCTCTCCTTCAGTAAGACATGAAAATTAGACTGGGACCTTGGGATGAGGAAATACTTTATGTAACTTTTAATAAATATGCCTTTGTATGGCTGTTCGGGGTTCAGTCCATCAGAAGAGGCTGGACCTTCCTGCTGCCACATAGGCCTTAAAATTTCATCTTGGGAGTGCCTTCTTTCTTCAACCCACCCGTGCTACATGGTGCACCCCGACAGGTGTTAATGTGTCTTTTTTTTATCCTGCAAAGTGAATAAGGGTCTTGCCCAAAGCAGACATTAGTTCTGGGGACCTGACTTATCCATAGAGCAATTACCTAGAAGGTCCCAGTAAGGGGATAGAAGCATGACTCAGTGGTAGAGCACCTGCTTGGACTCCCCTAGTGAGGGGCTGGGAGTGTCGCTCAGCAGTAGAGTGTCTGCCAAGACTCCCCCAGTGAGGGGATATAGGGGTGTAGCTCAGCGGTAGAGTGCCTGCCAAGACTCCCCCAGTGAGGGACTTGGGGTGTGGCTCAGCAGTAGAGTGCCTGCCTAGAATCCTCAGTTATAGAGCATTTGCCTAACGTACGGAAAGCCCAGGGTTCCAGCCTCAGCCCTGCAAAAACAAAAGCAGAAGCCAAATATCACCGTGTCCACATGTCCTCAGTAATGTGCCACAGGCTTTCTGTTCTGAAAGTTACCTTTCTGGGTTTTCAGGGTCCTGGAAAATGAGGAATGGGAGGGGAGGAACCCACACTCCTTACTGGCTTGCATCGGATAACTCAACAGGGACAGCTTTGGCTGTTAGAGCAAGTCCTGAGACTGGAAGGAGAAACCTGGGTTGCTTCCAGACTCCAGCCCCAGGTGTTTCTGATCTAAGTCCCTGTCCCGAGATAAGGACGCCCCCCAGAGGAGGTGATCTGCTGCCCAGCAATTCATAGATCCGCCCCTCATCTCAGTCAAGGCTTCCCGCACATCTCATAGACGTGCACCCCACTGGGTTCCCCTCCTGGAAATCGGAATCTGTCCACCCCTCCCCAAGGAAGAGCCCCCCTCCCCCCCGACAGCGTGCGTGCCTGGAACAGCCCGCTCCACCCCAGCAAGCACCAGACCCAGGCGTCCTGCCCCTTGCTCTGACCCCAGGTGGCCCCCACCTCCGGCGACCCCTCACGCACACACAGCCTCACCCCCACCCCCACCCGCGCACGCACACATGCTGATAACATCCCCGACCCCCGGCCGGAGCCACAGTGTCCCCGGACCAAGCCTGGCCGGTGGCTGCGTCTCGCTGTGTTCCCGAACAGACCCTTGGCCAGGGCCATCGCGTCCCCACTCTGCCCGCGCTCCCTGAACGGTGACCACCTTCTTCCAGGCTGGTGGGGTATCCTGGTCCCACAGATCTTCCAAGGATGAAGCCTAGCAGCGTGGACACTGGCCCAGCCCCGGGTCGCTAAGGGGCCCCGGCAGCCAGGCGCGGAGATGGGGGTGCCCGGTGAGTACTCACAGGCTAGGGACCTGTGACCTCCGGGGCTCCTGTTTGAGCAAGGATTTACATCTGAAGCTATTGGCCAGGAAGTGGCCGTGTTCAAGGACCTGCGACTCGCCAAGGATCAAAGAAGGGAGAGGGGGGTGGGGCAGCCTCCTCCACGTGCACGCAGGGGTTTGGGGAGCCCCCCTCCGTGAATGACAAAAAAGGGGGGAGATCCAGAACAGGGACAAAGTTTAGGATTTTAGGGAGTTGAGGCGCCGCTCGGTGGGTGAGAAGCTGCTGTAAGAATTACCTGCGTCCAGGAGTCCCCGCTTCTCAGGATCTGCCAGCCTCTGGCGCGCACCCACAGTGAAGTTTGGCCGAGGAGTGGATGCCGGTCGGTCGCTTGGGGGTGGGGTGTGCGGCGCCGAGGCATAGAAGGAAGGCCACTCAGGCAGAGCCTAAGCAATTGCAAGGTCGGGGTCAGCAGAGACTGGAAGGGCAGAGGAGCCTCGCTCAGCAAACCAGCCTCTGTAGTCCCACCGCCCCCTCCCCTCCCTGGCTCACACCCAGCCTGCCTTTCTTCCAGAACGTCCCACCCTGCTCCTTTTACTGTCTTTGCTTCTGCTTCCTCTGGGCCTCCCAGTCCTCGGTGCTCCCCCACGCCTCATCTGCGACAGTCGAGTTCTGGAGAGGTACATCTTGGAGGCCAAGGAGGCAGAGAATGTCACGGTAAGCTCCCCGGCCCCACAAAAGAAAGAAACTGGGTTCTAGGAGATCTAGGAATTCCTAGCACTGCCTTTAGGGTCAAGAGGAGATGTTTAGCCCTAAACTTCTTCCATCACCCCCCTCCCTTAGAAGAATGATAAAGCTGGACACAGATGTGGCTCAGTTTGGTAGAGTGCCTGCTCAGTGTGCAAAAAAAAAAAAAAAAAAAAAAAAAAAAAAAAAAAAAAAAGCCCTGGGTTCGATTCCCCAGTACTGCATGAACCGTTTGTGGTGGTACAAACCTACATTCCTACATTCCTAGTACCTGGGAGGTAGAGCAGAAAGATCAGAAATTCAAGGTGATCCTCTGCTACATAAACTGAGGCCAGCCTCAAACTTGAAACTCTGACAGGAAACTGTCTAAAATAAGAAGGGATGGTAAAGCTGATGCCCCCCAAACCACGCCCAGTAACATTCAAAGTGGCTTTTTGTGGAACGATACCCTTGGAGGTCTTGTTGACAAGGTGCTGTGTCTTTTATTTAGATGGGCTGTGCAGAAGGTCCCAGACTGAGTGAGAATATTACAGTCCCAGATACCAAAGTCAACTTCTACGCTTGGAAAAGGATGGAGGTGAGTTCTATTTTTTTTCCCCTCCTTCCTAGAGGTGGGTGGGACTCATTGTTGACGGTGTGGGAGAGAGAATGAGAAGGACAGTGGCTGATGGGATACGCTAGCTCATTCATCTGTTCATTCATTCAACCAGCCTCACTGTGTGCCTTTCCCGCCCTTCCACCTACCCGCTGGGGTGTCTGATACCCAGGGAACATCTGGCTGGCTCTTTCTAAGTCTTTTGCCTCCTCTAGGTGGAAGAACAGGCTGCAGAAGTTTGGCAAGGCCTGTCCCTGCTCTCAGAAGCCATCCTTCGGGGCCAGGCCCTGCTAGCCAATTCCTCCCAACCACCAGAGACGCTTCAGCTGCATATAGACAAGGCCGTCAGTGGTCTGCGCAGTCTCACCTCCCTGCTCCGGGTGCTGGGCGCCCAGGTGAGTAGGAGTGGGTGTGCCCTTCCTACAGGACGGGCCAAGCATTGTTAAGGAATAGTGAGGGCTGAGCCTTTACCTTGGGTAAAGGTGCCCGCTGCCAAGCCTGATGCCCTGAGTTCAAAACCCCTAGAAGCCACGTGGTGAGAGGGGAACTGGTTCCCTCGAGCTGGCCTCTCACCTCCACCCACATGCTCTGGTGCACATGCATATATCAATGAGTTCACGTCATAACAAATTTAAAACAAAGACCTGCTGAGAGCTCAGGCTGGGAGATGGGCGTGTGTGCGCGTGTGTGCGTGTGCGTGTGCGTGTGCGTGTGCGTGTGCGTGTGTGTGTGTGTGTGTGTGTGTGTGTGTGTGTGTGTGTGTGACGCTTGCTGCACAAATGTGAGGAACGGAGTTCCATCTCCAGCACTTCTGTTTGAAAACAAACCAAACAAAAGCAAGACAAACCAAAATCGAGGTGAGATGGAACACACATGTAGCCCCAGAGCTGGGAGACTGGAGCCTCGGGATTCCTGGGACTCACTGGCCAGCCAGTCCAACTCAGTTGGTGAGCTCCAGGTTCAGTGAGAGATGCTGTCTCAGAAACCAAGGTGGAAGGGCTGGAGAGATGGCTCGGTGATCAGGAGCGCTTGCTGCCCTTGCAGAGTCCACTTCCTAGCATCCACATCAGGGGTCTCTCAGCTGCCTTTAAGTCCAGCTCTAGGGGGTCTGAGGCTGGATTCTGGACTCCCTGGGCACCTGCACACATTCACATCCACAGATCCAAATAAAAATAATGTGGAGAATGACCGAAGAAGACACACCTCTTGCCTCTACGCCCACACACGTTGTATACACACACACACACACACACACCACACATAAATAATACTGAGGACTCTCTTCACCCCCCCCCCCCACTCCCCATTCTGTCCCTGGTTACATTCTCATCTGCAGTCCTCAGCACCACGGTGACATCCCATTTTCTCTTGACAGAAGGAATCAATATCACCTCCAGAGGCCACCCCACCTGCTCCACTCCGAACACTCATGGTGGATACTTTCTGCAAACTCTTCCGGGTCTACTCCAACTTCCTCCGGGGGAAACTGAAGCTGTACACGGGGGAGGCCTGCAGGAGAGGGGACAGGTGACCTGCTGCTGCCGCCGCCGCCACCGCTACTGCCGCCACCGTGGTCTATCCACCAACCCGCTCACCATCACTGCCTGTCATGCCAACCCTCCACCACTCCCAACCCTCATCAAAGGGCTTGTGACCTCCTCACCAGCTTGTCTGACGGACACTCCAGCACCAGCAGTGATATCCTGGGGCCCAGAAGAACTTTCCAGAGCTCTGTTCTGAAATCTAAACATGTCACTGGGCCAGCCTGAGGCCCCAGAGCAGGAGACACTCGGAGAACCATCTTGGATTTGTTTTGTTTTTGTTGAGACGGGAAGGTCTCACATAGCCCAGGCTGGCCTGGAACTCGCTATGGAGCTAAGGATGACTTTGGACTCCTGATCTTCCTGCTTCCATTTCCTGAGTGCTCAGATTGCAGGTGTGCACCCCCCCCCCCAATTTATGGGGTCCTGGAGATGGAAGCTGGGGCTTCATGTATGCTAGGCAAGCACTCTACCAATTGAACCATATTCTCAGCATCCAGAAACCAGCTTATAACTCAGGGACAGAGACATCTAAACGCAATTAGTGTCCTGCCAGAACTGTGATTCCCCCACAGGACAAGCTTTGGAGTTCAATCTTTGTGGCACCTGTGAAGAATACAGGGACAGGAGAATTTAGGGGGCAAGGCATGAATTCTCCAGATTTCATGGGATTTTCCCTGACACCATGTCCCGATGGACAGTAGAGGGGGCGGAACCATGAAGAAAGAATGGCAACTGACTCTTAGCTTTCATGGGAGGGAAGGGGTTTGAAGTTTTGTGTCCTTAAAATACCACCGGCAACAGCCGAAATCACCAATATGACTCCTGGCTTGTCTGTATTTCATGGGTGCCCCCCCCCCCCCCGCAACTTTCCCGGCTCTGCCTCCTCCCAACCTGGTAGCAGAGCATCAGATCTGGGAAACCAGAGGTGGGGGGGGTTGGGCCCTACGTGCTGCCTTGCACGGCCCGTCTGACCTCTTGACCCCCTGGGCTTGAGGCCACAATGCCTGCCCACGCTGGTCAATAAGCAGGCTCCATTCAAGGCTGTCTTAGTGGGCAGCTGCCAACCCGCTTAACAAGTGCTCAATGGGCTGGGGCTACCACTGAGGAAACAGGAGCCAGTACCTAGGGGCTCCCCTTCAGGCGCTGGTGGCAGCGGCCAACGCTGGTTAATGGGTCAACATGTCCCTAGCACTCGTCACTTACCTCAGGATAGAAACCACCTGTGTCTTTCTGGGGGGTGTCACTCTGGGGGTTTCTCCCTGTAACTTGGAGCGTCAATAGGTGCAGGAGTGATAGGTACCATGACCGGGGGACAAGGGTGACTCCAGATTCTTCCTAGGATCCCTTCCCCAAAGGAAGTACCTTTGGGCAAGCATGCTTAGGAGAGACCCACACAACCAGTCAGAGAAGACACACACTGTCCCAGGACCCCAACCCTGGCTGTTATCCTATGTGGCTGTCATTCATTCTGTTCCCAAATCAAGACCTTTAGAATCCAGCCTGAAAGCTCAATATTCAAAAGGGAGTATTTTTGCAGTCCACTGCAGGGAAAATTACGTGCACATTGAAGGAGTTGGGGGGCTGGAGAGAATTTACTAGGCTGTGTGTGCATGTGCGTGCGTGTGTGTGTGTGTGTGTGTGTGTGTGTGTGTGTGTGTGTGTGTGTGTGTGTGTGTGTTCGTGTTCGAGTGCTCTTGTGTCTGTAATGAAGGTGGGAGGAGTCTGCAAAAGGAAAGAATTTTGAGGGAGGCGAACTTAGCTCCTGGACTACAGTGCCCTCTTCAGGTGCGGTTGGGAACTGTTAGGGAGCCTTCCAGGCACTCGCCGTCCTGTTTCCGCACCAGACACCACACTGTGGCCTCCCTTGCTAGGAACCGGCAAGGGTGAAATCTGTTTTGTAGGCTGTTGGGAGTTGGAATTAATAGACTAGGAGGCAGGGTGTGTTTCTGTTTATCTGTTTGGTTTTTGAGACCAAACAGGGGCTAAATCGCCCAGGCAGTCCTGGAACTTAGGCTTTTCCTGCCTCAGTTTCCCAAGTGCTGGAGTGCAGGCCTGGACTACTACATCTGGCTTAATTTTGTTATTTTTTTCTTTAAAAGGTTTATCTATCTATCTATCTATCTATCTATCTATCTATCTATCTATCTGTGTGGGGGGGGGCCAAAAGAGGGTATCAGATCCTCTCTAGAACTAGACTTACAGGCAGTTGTGAGCTACCCAGTGCAGGTTCTGGGAACTGAACTCTGGTCCTCTGTAAGACCAACAAGCACTTTTAACCACTGTGTTGACTAGCCATACTAGTCTTGCTTTGTTTGTTTGTTTTTTGGTTTTTTTTTCTAAGACAGGGTCTCACTAGGTAGCCCTGGCTGTCCTGAAACTCACTCTGTAGACCAGGCTGGCCTTGAACTCACAGAGCTCTGCCTGTCTCTGCCTGGTGAGTGCTGCGTTAAAGGAGTATTCCACCATGCCCAACTTTAGTCTTGCTTTTGTTTTTTAACTTTCTTTTTATTTATTCTTTGTATCTTTTACATCATGCCTCCTGATCCCACCCATCTCCCTCCTCCCACCCTAGAATAAAACAAAATAAAATATAAGAGAAAAAAGAGGAGAGGGAGGAAGGGAAAAATCTCGTCATGGAAGCTGCAGTGTGACACAGTGAGTCACGCAGTAAACCCCTTTATGGATACGTTTTACATGCAGGCGTTCATTGCAAAGAATCATTGGTCTGGTTCGAGACCCCTGGTCTCTGCTACACCATTGATGCTGGACCCTCACTGGGACTCTTCCTGGACATCCTGTTGTTGCCCTGTGCATGAAGATCCTGCAGCCCTGGGCCCACAGGACTGACCGGCTCCCCACCTCCCACCCCCGTGCTCCAGCAGATCACAAATGGGGTGGTGTTGGGGTAGGCCAGCACATAACCCTGGTTCTGGGCCCGGGTAGTTGCAGGGTTGGTCAGCTGGCCAGCTCTCCCCCGTCCTCACCACCAGGGTGAGCTCTCCAGCACCGTCCTGGCTAGTTTATCCATTGAAGTGCCGAGCAAGGGGCGGGGCCAGTGCTCCTGCTTTCACAGCCTCAAGGTCGGCTCTCCCACACCTACACCTTCAGGGTCAGCTCCACCATGTTGTCCTGGTGAGGTGTAGGGGCCATTCCCCTGAGTGCTGCAGATAATGAGGGGGAGGGGACAGCTCTCCTGTTCTTCCACCTGTCTCAGGTGTTGATGGGGGAGGGGATCTCTTCCCTGCCCATCCCATCCCATGGCAGATGAGCAATGAGGACAGCTTTTCCATCCTCACAACATCGGGGCTAGCTCACCCACACCTCCACTAACAGGGCCAGCTCTGCTGTGCTGCCCAGGTGAGGTGAAGGGTCGGCCCACTTTCCCAAGTGCTGCAGCTGGTAAGGTCAGCTCCCTCACCCACCACAGGCGGCAGGATCAAGGGAGGGGGAGGGCATCTTTCCCTCGCCCTCACCACCACGTGGCAGACGATGGGGGGGGGTATGGCCAGCCATTCCACTCCCACAGCCTCAGGGCTATCTCACCCACGCCTCTGCCAACAGGGCCTACCGTGCTGCCTAGGCGAGGAGCAGGGCCTGATTTCCTGAGTGCTGCAGCTGGTAAGGAGAAGGGTCTGTCACAGGCAGTAAGAGGTGAGGGGTAAGGGGGGGCATCTCTCCCACACCTGCACAGCCACATGACAGATGAGTCGTTGGGATAGCTCCCCCATGCTCACAACCTCGAGGCTGGCTTACCCACACCTCTGTCAACAGGGTGGGCTCTACTGTATCGCCCAGGTGAGGTGCAGGGCCTGCTCTCCCGAGTGTTGCAGCTGGTGGGGGTCAGGGGCAGCTTTCCCGCCCTTATGACCTCAGGTAGTCTTAAGGAGAAGCACTAACAAACAGTTGGCACCTGACCGTGAGTTTGACACATGTCAACCCAGCGTCTCGTCCACCTTCTGTCATTGATGTAACTAAACACCTGGCAAAGTCAACTCAGAGGAGGAGGGGTTTGTTTCCACGCGCACTTCCAGGGGACGAGATCCATCACGGTGAGAAGGCACAGCAGCAGGAAGACGGGGTGGCTGGGCACATGGCATCCCCAGTCAGGCAGCAGAGATGGGTGCTGCGGCTTAGCGGGCTCTCTCCCCTGGACCGCAGCCCAGGGAATGATGGGCACATTCACCTCAACAAACCTGACCTCGGCAATCCCTCCCTCGCAGATGTGCCCACAGGCTGGCCTCTCCCCTGGTTCTAGACTCTATGAAATTGATAATGACACCACGGCATCTTAGCTTGGTTGGTTTTTAAGGCTCAGGTGTCTAAATCGTGATGTAACCAGCTTTCTTTGCTCCCTGTGATTCGGGGCCTCTGGCCCTATTCTTCAGCCTCTCTACAGACATGTCATTGTGGGTGTTGTAAGCCTGTAATTCCAGCACTCAGGTGTCTAAGGCAGAGGACCAGGAATTCTAGCCCAGCCTGGGCTATGTAGTAAGAGCCATCCTGTTTTTATTTTTAGTAGTAATTGAACATTGTTGTGGCCAATCTTTTGTTGTTGTTGTTATTGTTTCCAAGACAGGGTTTCTCTGTGTAGCCCTGGCTGTCTTGGAACTTACTCTGTAGCCCAGGCTGGCCTCGAACTTAAGAGCTCCACCTGCCTGTGCCTCCCCAGTGCTGGGATTAAAGGTGTGTGCCACCACAGCCCGGCTTGAGTGTCACCTTCTGAGGGCCGCCCACGGAAAAGGACACGGAAGAAGAAAACTGCCTTTTGCTTGCCCTCACCATCACTGACAAGTCTTTATCACCATTGCTGTGACGCTCCTCATGAGTGTTAGAACCGACAGCTTTGGGATTCCAATGTGGACCAAAGACCAGGCCTTCAGTGCCAGATTAGGACCGCTGAGACAGCCATCCTTGTAGCTAGAGTTTTCCTGCCTGGCCCACAGTCGGGACAAATCTCTCTTACCCGCCAGTCCCACAGCCACTCAAA